ACACACATGAGAAAATATACAAGGAGGAAATTATGGTTCAAACAGCTCGGATTTAAGGTTAACTAAACAGGATGTGAGGAAGTGGCTGGTTTTCTAATGACGATCACATAGGCAGTGCAGCTTCATCTAGGCACAGAGCAACAAGAACAGTAATTATCTAACTGAGCTTAGCTTTCAAATATGTCTTATTAAAATTTACAACAAGTTATGACAGAATACTTGTATCTGTGCTCGCGATGGGCATGTCTCAGTTTGCGTGCTGAGAGAAAGGATTCTAATATTCACTAAGAGGTTGTAAAAATGCACCTTAAACATCTTAAAATTAAGTCAGCTGGAAAATTATGGCAATTGTTAGTCCTAGATGGATAGTTTGGGTGCAAAAAGATGCCGACCAAAAATATGCAGAAGAGAGCAGATTGTGTAATCCTTTATTATTAGTCTGTCTACATCTCCAAAGCTCAAAATGCTCTGTTCCACCGTGTGATGTCATGCAGTCTTCTAATACTCACTAAAATACAAGCTCAGATCTGAGTCTCTGAGCGCGTTAAAGCTGTACTGCGTAACTTTTTTGTTGTGGATCCTTCACTGCTCTGCTTTGAATGTTCCACAGTATTATATTAACCCTTCCAGACCTAAGGGCAATTATAGTACAGTTTTACTCGCCTAGATTTTTTTTTCTTAATTTTTCTATTAAAACTCACCTTTTTACCACCTAATGAAGTGTCATATATCCTTTTTTAATAATCAAAGCTATAGGCAAAAAAAAAAAAAAAAAAGGAAAATAAAATGTACACGGCTTTCATGCAAAACACGCAGTATGTATGAAAATGCTTAATTTAGTGCCTTAGCTACAAAAGTGCAAAATCAAGTGTGTAAGTAAACTAAAAATATCCTTATTGCCCTCAAAACAAAAACAAAAAAAGTGCAATGGCCCCATGAGTTTCCTGGTGCCAGTCATGGAAACAGCTCATGTCAAGTCCAGGGCACAGAGCCACCTCACTTCCTGCATTTCCATGGTGTTTATTACGTTTTGTGCTTTTGGACTGAAATAAACCTTTCAAATAAAAATAGCAAGGGATGTGCAATTACGTATCCCAAGATGCATAATTTGCCATTTATTTGAGAAATAACTGCACTTAGAGCAGTTTTTAAAAATTGTTACGAACACAGACGCTCAGAACAGTCAACCATTTTGACTCACTACACTCTTTGGCAAAGTTTGGCCCAAACAAAATGGATGGAGGGCATGTGTTTGACCGGTTTCGTTTTCCCAACATCATCACACAACGTGCGTGTGACATAGGATAACGCCGGAAATATGCTCGGAAAGCTGTAACCGTCAGCCTTTCAAGGGGAAAACAGCTTTACTTTACATTTATTCAGTTACAAATGGTTTTATAGCTCAACTTTGAGCTCTTATGTAGGCTTCTAATACTCAGTAAAAGATTGTTTAAAAGGTATATATATATATATATATATATATATATATATATATATATATATATATATATATATATATATATATATATATATATATATATATATATATATATATAAAGTATCTTAAACATCTTAAAAATCTATGACCATTTTTAGTATTAGATGCAGACTTGAGAGGTTGGATACAAAAAGACGCTGATCAGAATGCGCTCTTCTACACGGAGAATAACAGATGTGGAGCTGAGCCTGTGCAGATCGAGGTGAGGAGGAAAGGTCAGGGAAAATTAACAGGTCAAACCTCCAGAGAGAGCGCATATGTTCAGCAAATTTACAGCAATCTGTATCTAATGAGCACTTCTGGTTCAAGATGCAGGAGCACGAGTGAGCAGGGGAATCTGGGCTTTTATGATCTCAGGATTTACTATGTAGCTATAGAATTCAAAATTATGTACTAAATAGTTAAAATATACGGGACATGTAATATATTTTTTCTTACTCATGAAAAACATGGACCTCCACCTGGTTAGTGATGGGTGGGCTCTTTTTCTCACAGCATATAAAGACATCAAAGAAACATGTTCACTACTATAACTTATGTCATGATCTGAGTATTTGCACTTCTTGCAATAAATAATATAATAATTATCGTGGAAGGGCATTTGGTGTAAAATCTGGCTATGTCTCTCACTCTCTACACTCATTCTGAAAAAGCTGGTCCAGGGGAACTGATCAAAATAAAAGCTATATTAAATATTTGCAAAGAAAAGAAAGGAAAAACTATGAAAATTCCATACTAACCACACATATTATAGTCTAGGCTACGTAGGAGGTAGGAATGGCGTAGGATTACTCCATATTGAACTCTCCCTGATAGTATCTGAACTGGAGTCTGTGATTTAAAGCCTGTCTTTATTTTCATTATCAGCTCTGATCTGTCCCTCTTAGCACTGTGTCCGGTCAGTCTGACAGGAAAACCTCACACTGCACTGGATTTTTATCATGAAAACCTGAACTGAACCAAAGGAAATCCTGTTGATATGTATGTGTGATGGTAAATACAAGCGCAGATCTGACTCTCTGTGCTCTTTAAAGGTGCAGTATGTAACTTTTCGGCTGTGGGTCTGTCACCTTTGTCATTCTATGTCTATTGTAAATGGTGCTTTTCCACCTTCAAGGCTCTCAAAGTGCTTTTACCACAAGGAACCACTCACCCATTCACACACACATTCACACATTGCAGACACTAGGGGTGAGGTGGGTGAAGTGTCTTGCCCAAGGACAAAACAACAGCATTCACAGGGTTCCCACTCTTTTTCACTGACAAAACTTTAAAACTTTCCATGACTTTTTCATGGCCTAAAGTAAATTTTCCATGACTTTACGGCACCTACATGTGTAGAATTGTGCTTTTAGGGCTAAATATAAAATGTTAACCCTATCCACTCACCTTATGGTTTGGTATTATAGTTTTTTTAACATTCAGAATATTGTCAGTGCATTTATTGTCATCTCTTTAAAAAAAAAAAAAGGAGCATATGTTCAGAAATAATCATAATAACCTAATGAGAACTTAACAGATTGCTGGAGTTGCGTGAAAAAGATAATAAAATTCCATGACTTTTCCAAAACTTTCATTGAACTTACAAAATTCCATGACTTTCCAGGCCTGGAAAATTACATTCACAATTTCCATGACCTTCCCAGGATTTCCATGACCATGGGAGCCCTCCATTCATCTTTGGAAGTTGGAATCACAACACCAACCTGTGGGTCAGTGGACCGGGCCGCTCAACCACTGATGTTTATGTCAAAAGTGGGATTTAAACCACCAACCTTCTGATCAGTGGACAAACACTCTGCTCCCTGTCATTACTTTCCCTGGTCATTTATTCAGTTACAAGTGGTTTTATAGCTGAGAAAAACATATAATGACTGTGAGTGGGGTCATTATTCCACAGATCTGACCTGTAAATTGGTCTGCTTTGGTTCATGAAGATAGAAAGGTTTAATTCCATACTGTGAAACATTCCAGACTAAGCAATGACATCTCCATGGAAAAAAGCAGTTGACAGATCCTCCACCAGAAAAGTTACACAATGCACCTTTAACACAATAACACATGTAAAGGATGTTTCACTGGACAACAGGGCACAGGCAAGAGGAGACAGTCTGTGGTCAAGAGAAGTACTGCTAGTTTGGTTTCATAACTCACTTGTAGATTTTGTAAAACTAAATTAGAAGAGGGAAAACATAAAAAATAAGAAAATGGAATGTTTGGGTCATTGAGAGCTGTGGATGAAGTACATATGAAGTACAGATACACGACCAAAGAAATACTCATGTAAAAGAAAATGTATCATATGAAAAAGTCAGCTTAAGTAAAAATATTAAAGTACTTGTTTAAAATTGTACTTTAAGAGTAAAAAGTAAAAGTATTGTGCACAGATTTTGAGATCTAATAAACCTTCCAATCTAATGATTTTGTTAGTGATTTGAATCCTAACTGTTTTCCTTGTAGCCTATATTTTTGTTTGCTCAGACTACAAATGTGTAAAAATAAACCCCTCAGGCTTGTCACTGGGCCTCAAACAATAAGAAAAACAATACTTTGAAAATGTATGTGAGTAAAAAGTACAGATAGCTGCTCTTGGATGTAGTGAGAAGTAAAAAGTATCCAAAAAACCCAATCATGTATTCTAAAGTACAGTATTTTTACTAACTTCATTACGCTCCACCTCTGCTCTTTGATATGCACTTGATATAATTCTCATATTTAGATACTGGAGTCACAAGGGACAAAGTAAAATCTAAAATACTTCATTATAGCTTCAAATATAAACTGATACATAATAAATCAAGTTGTGGCCATAAACCTTCTGTAACCTTGTCAAGAGCTCACAGGCGGGCTACGTGTTAACTGTGATGATGATGAGAAATCCTTATTAAGCCTTTATAGTAGCTGAAGGTGTTCCGTGCAGTTACTGTGCCTCTCATAAACTTTCAACTCACAGTGGTGCGTCCAACCACACAGAAATTAACCAGGACCAAAAGCTCCTCCAGCCGTGCATCTATCTGGTTTATAGTGCACTGCTTTCTCTTGGAAACGTTCAAAAATACCTCATCTAACACACAACAAAACACTGGAATCAACAGTAGCCACATGCGCTCAGGTTCACACTGTATTAGTGTCTGTAGTGATGGGATGAGACGCCGGAACGTGTCTTTTCCTCATAATGCGTAGGCTACACCAACTTATCTATGTGGTAACTCGCTCTGCACATGTTTTTACTTTTTAAAATAAGTAGCCCATTCGGTCAATACAAAACAAGCAATGTAATGTAAACAGTAGGAAAACAAAAGTGAGTCTTAACACACGCACATATCATAAGCTGCCAAGTTCAAAGCAATTTTAACTTAATTTAATTTTATTTGAGCCTTTTTGTCTCTTTCTGTCTAAACAAGCAGACTGCTGTAATCAAAATCAAATGAATCCTTGCAAACAGCGCATGGGCATCCAAATCAGAACAATGAACGTAATAGAATTTGATTGCAGCAATTACCTTTATACGAAAGCCTCAACCGTGGCACGTTGGACTTGGAGGATGAAACAGCGTGGACGCACAAAAGCGCGATCAAAGGAAATAACTGTGTAAATACCTTCATTTTGCTACAATACTGTCAACTTGATTTAATTTTGAATCGTACTCTGCGTCTAAAGTGATTATTCCAGCACGTGTTGTCAGAAATGTAAGTTCACAACATGTCCGGACAGTCTGCTCCCGTGCGTAAAAGCGCGACCTGAACCAGCACTGCTCCGGGTCGGCTCCGGCTCCTGCGTCTCTCCGCGCTCCGCTGCAGCTTCCAACACGAGTCTGTGCTGGAATGAGAGGCAGAGGCACGCACCACGCCTCTACTCTGGAGAGAGAGGGAGAGAGAGATTAAAGAGAAGTGCGAGGAGCTCCGCGCGAGCGGTTAACAACGCATCTAGCACTTAGGTCTCTAAAAATAATTAATGGGCCTATCGAATTATCTTTAAGTTTTTACACTTAAAATTGAGTTATTAGCCTATATACCAATAGTCCACCATACCATGACCGTGTGCTGTGAATTTCCACAATAATTGTTAAGGTATTATTGGGTGTGTCAGAACTAGGCACAGCAATTTCCAAATGACAGATGGAAATAAAGTTTGTGTATGAATATTTTGATTATAGAAGCATAAAAAAATATTTCAAATGTACAAAGAATGCTAAAAATCTGTGCTAAAAGCTTCCACAATCATCTGAGAACTTCAATAGAGTGTAGCAGTTTGCATGATTTTGAAAGACACTTCTACAGACCACAGTTTACAATAACAACTTGTGTGTGCTCCAAGTGGCATCCTTCTGTGCCCATTCCTCTCTTTCACACACACGTCTGTTTACATGACCTTCTCCTCCTCATCCCTCGCTCCTCTCCTGCTCCTCCGGGACGTGAGCCGGAGTTTAATGAAGACATTGGATGTGTTTTGAGCAGCTCTTCTCTTTCTGCATCTATCATTCACAGGGCAGGGGCTATTGAAAGTGCAGTTAGAGCCACCCATGGGTCTTTGAGAGGCACTTGTTTGCTCCCATCGGCTCTGAGTACAAGCCTGGGACAGGGGGATGGGGGTTTGAGTGCGGCTGCCCGGCATCCTGGGAGCTGGAGTTGACAGCTCGTCTTGATGCTTTGTTGTTGGTGCCAGGAAGAGGGTCCCTTGTCAACTTTTGTCCCATGGATCAGAGACAGGACAAAGAAGCTGCAGTTTGATGTGTTCATTGAGAAGAAGAGAGTCTCACATCATGTATGTAACTTTTATTATGAAAATCTTATTTTTGTATTTTGTATCCAACCTCTAAACTAGGCTGGCTAGATTTTCAAAATTCAATACTGGGATACACCCAGGTTGGGATGGTTGGTATAAATAAAAATGTGACAAGAGCACGTAACATTGTCCAGTCACCACTCACTTGTCTTGAGGAGGTATTTTAGCTAAACCAATGTTTAGTTTAGTTTAGTTTATTTAATGAGACAGTGCATAATATACATTAATCTTAACAGGAGAGATGTATTTTATCAGGTTGTAGCGCCAGTGCTAATTTCGACCTGTTATCCATGGGCAGGTTGATGTTATAGTTCATTAATTATCAAACAAAGAGAGTGTCTTTAAAATGACATCATAAGGCATCATAAAAATTCTGTATCATCATTCACACCAGTTCTCTCAGCACCTTAAAAACGTCATCAAAATGATCATTCAATGGATTCACTCCAGAACATCACACTCTCTCCAAACACTCCTCAGTCCACATTATGGGCGCAGGTTTGGTTTGAAAGGAGCCACTGTTTCGCCAGGTGTGAGAATGTGCCTAGTTTGTACATGTGATCAGCTCTGTTGGTAACATGTTCCACTGTTGGTTTCACAGCTCAGAGAATCAAACTTGTTTTAGTGGAGGAGCAGCAGCAGAATGAATGATGAGGAGAATATATATAACAATATATTCTCCTCTTTACTGTTCGCGGTCAAAAATAGGGACACCTGGGGAAAATCACTGGTTTTTGATAAATTCACTGGAACAGAGGACACAGGGCTCAAAACTGGGACTGTCCTGGGTAAATATAGGGAGGCCACTCTACACTATAATCTCAACAAGTTACTCCAAATTATAAACAGGCTGTGTAACAGATATTCAACGAATGTAGAAATGTAATGTTTGTTTTTGCTCATTTCAAAGTCAACTGAATACCCACATTATAGCAGCATCATAGTTTTCCTAAATATTCATTAATGTTGGGTCACTTGATTTAAAGGTGCATCATGTAACTTTTTTCTAATGGAGGGTCCAGGGAAGCAGGTGATGCCATAACAAGTTACAGGTCATACACAGGTCATAGAGGTGACAGAAAAAAACTGTAATTGAATATAAGTGAGATAGACAAGCTCAGTGCCATGGAACAATCCAGGCAAAACAATAACATCTCCACAGAGACATGCAGGTGGTGTACTTTCCCCCGAAGCCTTATATTGTGCAACTGTGACCACAGGCCAAACATAAAATCACAAAACATAACTTGGTTGTTACGTGTTTTGATTGTTTCAGAGCAACGATTTCTCAAAAATAAAATATTATGACAATAGTAAATAGACTCGTATTGTCTTGTTTCAAAATGAATTTAACCAGGTCCTTGTGTTGATTCAGAAAACTTCTTTATTTTAATGTGTGTTTTGAAAATCACACTTCTTCATTTTGGGAAACCCTGACTGATGAAATAAAGATGTTACATTGTTCTCGTCCTCTTTGTCTCTTGAGTGATTTCTTAGTTTTATGTTTCTGTGGTCCCTAAATAACAATACCACAACATTATGGTAGATGGAAGCTAAGGTCTCTAGTGTCTCTAGGGATTTGGGGTTGGTTTGTATCCTTTTTTCAACCAAAAATGTATTCTTGTGGTTAGTCCATACTTAACATGTATTTATTCATTATACTGCCTTGCTTCATTCTCTGTTTTGTCTTATATCTGCTGGATTTATCTGCAACAGGCTTTAAAAGGCCCATATTATACTCTGATCTATTTTATATTGTTGTTTCCTCATCAAAAACATACCCAGAGTTGTATTTTGTTTCATTCGCACATGTTGAATACACATTTTTGATAACGTAACAATATTCTAACATGGCTTAAAATTTACAAGAGTCCATTTTGCGCAGTACAGGACCGTTAATGTAAGTTTAAATCATTTTTTACTACACGCGTTTGAACTTAAAGCCAACCTGCATCCACTCAAAATGCAGGAGAGTGAAACATCAGCTCATGTTTAGTACGGGTCGCGGTGGTGTGGTCCATCCCCTCTCCTCTGTGGTGTGATTGAAGCTGCTCTGATGGTCTTTGTGTGAGGCTGAAGTGCTCTCAGCTCTGGTCTCCTCTGATTGGACCAAATCCTTTTCTGAAACTGTGTCTTTGTGAAGCACTGACAAACATGGGAACAGAGAAACTAGAAAAACGACAAGAAATTACTTATTCTTACTACTATTACTATTAAATATTGAGAGAAAAGCATTAAAACACATGTAGCAAGGTGGGTTTTCAGACAGTCTTTTTTACTCCTACTTGAGGAATATATTTTGGAGTGTAATACTAATTGGGTAAATGTTTTAGTTACTCTTCCCACTGAGAGTAAGTCTACAGGTGACAAAATTTTCATCTTGACAATATTAAATTATTTAATCAGTAGTGTTTCATGCACTGCTCATATACAGTATATAATTTGGGGGAAAACACTTTTCCAATAGATTTTGTGATCAAATGTTTTGTCCTTTTATTACAGAGAGAGAGCTACTTTATTGATCCCAAGGGAAATTTAAGATATTTATATTATGTTATTTTCAGTTTATAAATCTGATTTCTTGGGCTCTACTTTGTACTTCTACTTGAGTGTTTTTTACTAGAAGTAACATTACTCTTACTTGAGTCATTGTTTCCCAAAGGCTCAGGCGGGACACAAGAGATTACTTTTGTGTGTGTGAGTGTGTGTGTGTGTCGCCTTGTCACGATCTGCATGTAGGTCTGCAATATACAGTTGTACAGACTATTTTGTTCCAATATTGCTGGTTTAGTTGAATGTTGAAAAGAAAAAGAAATGGACTACATTTAATGTCCAAACAGGCAGCTTATGGATCCTTTTATTGCTGGTTCATTTACTGTTTTTCATTGTTCAAAACTTGAGTAATTCTAATTATTCAAAGAGACATGAGCACTCAGTCAACAATAAAATATCCTCAGTATAATGTTCAATAATGGTCCAGTCTACTTTTATTTTGTGATTAACAAATAATGTCTATTCACTTGAGTTGCAAAGGTTTGTGACTTTTAAAATATGGGTCCCCAGAAAAAAAGTTTGGGAAACACTGGCTTAAGTAACAATGGACCTAAAATGGTTACCTTTAGCAGGATTGCTTTGATACGCATTCCTACTTGTCACTATCAGTTATAAACAACACATGTCTTCTTGTGTAGCCTCACAGTTGTGGTTTACTTTGATTAGATGGGCATAAACTATGAGAAAAGGCAACCCTACACTCTTGTACTGAAGCATGCACAAAGTGTGGACCTCTGCCAAGGCACTGCTGCGCTCACAATGCTATGGAACCCAGCATCTACATTTGCTTCAAGAATAAACACATTTTTGCACAATAATAAACAATTTAATGTTTTAATTTTAGCAATTAAAATTTTTATTAACCTTCTATCTTCATGGAGACCAAACCAGACCAAGTCATAGGTAAGAACTGTGGAGAGGCGACGCCGCTCATAGTCAGAATGCCTGTTTTTCTAGATATTTTTGAGCTATAAAAGCACCTGTAATTTAATAAATGTAAGGTAGAGCTGTTTAATGCCATACTGTGGAACATTCGAGGCAGAGCAATGACATATCTATAGAAACAAGCAGGTGATGAACTGCCAACCAAAAAGTTACACAGTGCACCTTTAAGCTCTTCATGTAGAAATGTGTTTGTTTATTGTTTGCAAAGCACTATTTAAGTCTTATGTATTATTATTATTATTTAATCATCGTGAGTAAAAAAAAAACTAATCACACTGCAAGTCAAAAGTTTGGACCTTCTCATTCAGTTTTTTTCCTTTATGCTTAGATATTGAAGACATAAAAAAATAAGCAAGATGTACAGAATTATGTAGCAAAGTTCTTTATTATTTTGCATTTTTTAATAGATTCAGATTCATGAGGAGATGGTTTTCACTTCACAGATTTGCCTCGTCAGGGTTTATTAGTGGAATGCCAAGAGTGTAAGCACTGGATGTGGTTACATACACACTCAAAATCAGATT